GTGCTTTTCCGAATTAATGAGAGAAAACATTGATTCTCCTGCTGCCCACGAAGGTGGAAAGTGAAGTGGGGAGACATGTGGGGAATGAGCAAGGTTCCCTGTCTGGGGGTTCCAAATCTGCTGTTGGTTTTTTTCACCACTGACTAGAGATATACAGGGTGTCCCCCCAAAATGTATACACACTTTGAATACCTACTAATTCCAATGGTTTTAAGCATAAGAAAGGAACAACAATGGAGCTGTTATCTGTTAAAAGTGTGGGCACAAACAGGTAGTTGGACATTCCCTGAGGGGTCTCAGATTGGAGAGGGTGAAGGCCAGACTGAGGGGCCCCTTCTCCCCCCCTACCCCAGTGCACTAATTTCGTGCACCGGGCTACTAGTCCTATATAATAAAACCCTAATATGCAAATTGACCAAATGGCGGAATGACTGGCAGAACAACCAGTTGCTATGATGCACACTGACCACCAGGGGGCAGATGCTCAATGTAGGAGCTGCCTCCTGGTGGTCAGTGCACTCCCACAGGAGGAGCGCTGCTTAGCCAGAAGCTGAGCTCACTGCTGGCGAGCGCAGTGGCGGTGGCGGGAGCCTCTCCTGCCTCCGTGGCAGGCGGGCAGTAAGGAGTGAGGGGTCATGGACTGCAAGAAGACGCAGGCCAGGCTGAGGGACCTTCCACCCCAGTGCATGAATTTCATACACCGGGCTTCTAGTATTAAATAAAACCCTGCATATTGCTATCTTTGGGGAAACCAATTTAAAAGTAACATCACTTCAACCTTAGAAAAAATGCTACCAGGAGGCTGACAGAGGATCTTAACCACATCAGGATTTTTAAGTTTAAGAATTTTGTCATTCAGGCATTTGATTGGGTCCCAGGGAACTACCTATATGCAAGCTGTACTTGCCTCAGGCCAAACACATGAATTTCACTTCTAAACGCTGTGCTCCAGCTTGGCAGCTGTCTCCTTCCCTATTAACAATGCCCAGGCCTTCATTAAGCTTCCCACCTTCCTGCGTGGGCCAGGTCTGGCTGGCCTGCGTAGGCTGCGGTGACTACTTACGTGGGACACTCTGCTGGAGGGAACCTCCTCGGAAGAGAGTTGGGGGCGTCTTCCTGCTGAGCCTCCTTAACAAGTGGTCCCGCTCATTCATCCTGCAGGTAAATCAAACATGTCAGTCTCTAATTCACCTGGACACATCTCAAAGGTTCTGGTTGAATGACTTCCGGTTGTAAAATAAAACAAACAGGGGGGGAAAGCTTCCTTCCCCACGTCAAGACAAATGTCCAGTTTTGCACGCCGCCCACTGTTGACGGTAGATGCTATCTCGACACTTGGAGTGCACAGCCCTCTCTTCTAAAAGGCGCTCTGTGTTCAGCCGTCCTGTACACAGCGCCTCAGCCCTCTGCCTCCCTCTTAATTGAAGTGCACTACAAGTGCCCTTTCATACCGGGCAAACCCTGGCTTCCCGGAACACTTTGGAAGGAGTGACCTGTTTCTATGGTAAATGTCTTAAAAGCCTCAATCCCACCTGCAGCCTCCTTTCCTCGAGCCAGTAAATGGTACCAGGGCCAGGGCCTCTCCCCGGTGCCCCAGGACCCTAGCAGGAGACAGGCTTCTTTCCACAGAACCTGATGCTTATTATGAAACACAATAAAAATCAAGGTGAATTTTCTTTGAAAACATAAGGATCGGGAGCTCTTCCTGCCTTTCCAGAAATTATTCCCTCTAAGGCGGCCACAGCTGTGAACAGACATGGAGCTATCCCGGCGGACAGCCATCTTCATTCCTATCAGTTGAGTGGGTGCTTGAGAACTGTCCAGGCGGCCAGAGTGCTCTGATTCTTTACCATCACTCTGCTTGCTCCCAAAGAGATTTCAGGTGCACAGCAGTTTGCCAGTGCCCTCTATTATGGGGTGAATTGTGTCCCCCCACATTCATGGGCTCAATTCCTAACCCCCAGCACCTAAGAATGTGACTGCATTGGAAGATGGGATCTTTAAGAGGTGATTGTGCTAAGATGAGGACATTAGGGTGGGGCCATAATCCAGTACGACTGGGGTCCTCATGAGGAGAGGAGACTAGGACACACGCAGAGGAAAGACCATGTGAAGACAAAGGAAGAAGACGGACATCTACAAGCTGAGGGGAGAGGCCTCAGGAGAAACCAAGCCTGGCCACACCTTGATCTTGGACTTGCAGCCCAGAACTGTGAGATAATAACTTTCTTTTGTTTAAGCCCCCAGTCTGTGGTATTGTACTATGGCAGCAAATACACCCCCGATCTGCTGTCTGTGGGGACTTGAGGGTTAAGGAGCTGCAGTTGCTTGTGATCCAAAGCACCTCCCCTGGCCCTGTCCATGAGCCTCAAGCCCGAGGAGTCCATGTCACCACTCCCCCAGGGGCCTTTGAAAGAGGAGCAGGGTCCAGGATCAGCCGTGGGCAAACTACGGCCCGCGGGCCGGATCCAGACCGTTTGAAATGAATAAAACTAAAAAAAAAAAAGACCGTACCCTTTTATGTAATGATGTTTACTTTGAATTTATATTAGTTCACACAAACACTCCATCCATGCTTTTGTTCCGGCCCTCCGGTCCAGTTTAAGAACCCACTGTGGCCCTCGAGTCAAAAAGTTTGCCCACCCCTGGTCCAGGATATTAGTAGTTCTATGAGCTAAAGTTCATTTTGCACTTGGGTTTCCAGAAGAGAGCATTTTCTGATTCTCTTGGTTGAAAGGACAATGTTTGACTCATCACCAATTAAGGGTGAGCCTGTGCTAGCTAAACTTGGCAGTGTCTGACAGTTTATGAGAAAATACACTTTTTCTATCCCTTCACACTGGCTTTCCCTTCCCTCTCGTATCTTTCTCTCCCATGGGCTAAACTGATCTCCCTGAACCTGCTGAGCAATTGCCCTGGACGACAGGGCTGAGCAGATGAATGAGGAGGGAGCCTGTGAGTACGAAGGCCCTGTGTGGCCACTGCCGCCTGACCATCTGCAGCTCCAGGTGTTGGCTAGTTGCAGGACTTTGGGAACGTGACAAAGTCTGACCCTGGAAGGCACTGTGTGTAGAAATGCTCCCTGAAGGCTGGGCTGGAGGTTCCTGGGGCATCCTTCCCAGCCTTCCTGGTTGACAAGCACTCTCTCCCCAGAAACTAGGGGACAGACACAGGGCTATGCTCTGACACCAGGCCCATCCTCTACCCTGGTCATCCCTGATTCCGCTAACATTTCAGGAAGAACCACATATGTGGGAGGGGCTTTTGAAATCACACAGAGACTCAGCCATGACAAATAAAAAGGCACTTTGCTGGCAGTGCTTTTGTCCCTGCCTCTGTGCTAGATAGGTGTTCCCAATTCCCTCGTGGAATGGTCTCTCTCTCTCTCTCTCTCTCTCTCTCTCTCATGAAATATTCCAAACACACAGAGATAGTCAGAAACCAGTACAGTGGTTTTAGCAAATGGTAGCACCACCCTTAGACACCATGCTTCTGAGGGACCCACTCCACTCTGTAGCTCTTCCTCCCACATGGGGAGGGGTCCATGGAGTCAAGGAGACAGGTCTACCCAGAGCCTATGCCTGTCTCCCATCTAAAATATTTAAGACCCTAGAAGTTTCTTCTTAGTGACCCCTAAGCTGGCACCCAAGGCTAACCTGACCTCCTTGCTAACTCCGTTCCCCTAAAAGTAGGCCATACAGCTAGTGTGCACACTCCCTGGCCTGAGGGAGTGGCCAAGGGGTGGTTTCCTTCATGGATGTATGGATGGCGCCCCCACATGTGTGCACAGGTCCCTTCCCAGTGCAGGACTGAGCCAAGGTTGGCAAGTGAAGGTGAAATACCCAAGTCAGCTAACTCTTCCCTGTGCTACCACTCTCTGGCTCAGACCTGCAAAGAATCTGGGAATCACCAAGCACTGCCATCTTCATGAAGCTATTCACGGAGGTACAAATCTTTCATTGAGATACACAGCTATCTGTTACGTTGATTTATAACTGTCACATACTTAGACATGGCATGTACTTTCCATCGTACTCATGCACCAAATCCTGCAAATGTCAGGAATGGACCTGGTTGTGAGAACTACTTCAGATTTTAACCAAATAATAAAATCTCAAATATAAAGTCCCCTTATACTCCTCTCTGATTCCATTCTTCTTCCTTCTACTATAATAAAGTTAGAAATAACCTTTTGTTCATATTTAATACTTTGTTCTATATAAATGCATTCACACTAATATACAATTTTGTTTTAAAATATGTCTAAATGGAATTATTTATTTTATACTTCTAGTTTATCCTATTTTTGCTTTTCTCCTTCTTTTCTCCTTTCTTATTGTCTTTGCATTATCTACTCATGTAGAGGACAAGTTAATCTCTTTTCCTTCTGGACACTTAAAAATAATTTTTTAAAAATTGATTTCAAAGAGGAAGGGAGAAGGAGAGAGAGATTCGAACATCAATGATGAGAGAGAATCATTGATCAGCTGCCTCCTGCATGCCATACACTGGGGGTAGATACTGCAACCCCAGGCATGTGCCCTGACAGGGAATTGAACTGGGACCTCCTCGTTCATGGGTCAACACTCAACCACTGAGCCACAGCGGCTGAGCCCTTCTGGACACTTTTATAATTCTCTTTGTTTTTGGTGTTGTACAGTTTCATAACAACACTTAGTATGACTAGGTGTAGATTTGTTTTATATTCTGCTCATTAGTCATTTGGAAAATTTAAGTCAACTAGATAGCACTTAACATCTATTAGGATGGCTATAATAAAAAACAAACAAAAAGCAGAAAATAACAAATATTAGAGGGCATGTGGAGTAATTGGAACCCTAGCACATTACTGGTGGTACTGTAAAATGATGTGGCCATTGTTTTTCAATAAGTTCAGCAGGGAGTTACTGTATTAGCCAGGAATTCCACTCCTAGATATACACCCAAAAGAATTATAATCAGAATCAAATAGATATGTGTACACCAATATCTGAAGCAGTATTATTTACAACAGCCCCCAAATGGAAACAATTTAGATATCTATTAACTGATAAACAAAATATTGTATATCCACACAGTGGAATATTATGCAGCCATGAAAAGAAATGAAGTACTGATATATGCTACACATGCATACACCTTGAAAACATTATGGTAAGTGAAAGAATATAAACCAAAAAGGCCATGTATTGCATGATTCCATTTATAGGAAATCTCCAGAACAGGCAAATATGTAGAGACAAAAAGAAGAGCAGTAGTTGCCAGGGACTGTAGGTTGGGAGTGTGGGGGAGGGGAATGGGAGTGACTGCTTAAAGCATACAAGGTCTCCTTTTGGGGAGATGAACTATGTTCTAGGATTAGACAGTGGCGATGGTTCCACAACATTGTGACTATACTAAATGCCACTGAATTGTACACTTTAACATGGTAAATTTTATGTTATGTGAATTATATCACTGTATTTAAAAAAGGAAGTTCAATTAAAAAAGCAAAGACGAGGGGAAGGGCCCGGAATTAAGGCATATTCCCTCCCATCGCCTGTACTGTTGGTTTATTTCTCCACTGGTGGAGTGAGAAAGTGCTTTCTTTGATTTTTTTCTATCCTAGCTTAGCAGGTATCTGACTGGGACGTACAGATAGGAAATGTGCATGCAAACAAAAATTCACCAGTGGTACATGCATTCTTAGTACCTCCCAAATAATAGTGATGAAACTCAGTCTCACACAAGTCCTCCCACCGACTCTGTTTAGAAGCTGACATGAGGAGGTGGTGTGCTCCTGTCTCAAAAACTGAGCAGTGTTAAGAAGGAGCGGAGAGCTGAGAAGCCTATGTTGGGAAGTAATAAACTCTTTTGTCCACAGTTCTGTCAGGAGGCTATTCCTGCAAAAACTGCACACGCATAACTGCCAAAGCTCAGGAGCATGGAGAATATAACAAATAGCTGCAAATTTGTTGTTAAATCTTGTCAGTAGTTATAGCTGGTAGGAACTGCAGCTGACATCCCAACAAATCCAAAAACACATAGGTATTTTTAGAAACTTATTTTTTTAATTTTTAAAATATATTTTATTAATTTTTTACAGAGAGGAAGGGAGAGGGATAGAGAGTTAGAAACATTGATGAGAGAGAAACATCGATCAGCTGCCTCCTGCA